CCGTCAACCCCGACACAAGACCAAACACAAGAGCTATACAACCCACCACACACAACTGCCCGCTCAACAAACCACAACAAAACCTAGATGCCCTTGCAACTACCCCCCCCCCCCCCCCCCCCCCCCCCCCCCCCCCCCCCCCCCCCCCCCCCCCCCCCCCCCCCCCCCCCCCCCCCCCCCCCCCCCCCCCCCCCCCCCCCCCCCCCCCCCCCCCCCCCCCCCCCCCCCCCCCCCCCCCCCCCCCCCCCCCCCCCCCCCCCCCCCCCCCCCCCCCCCCCCCCCCCCCCCCTCCCCCCCCCCCCCCCCCCCCCCCCCCCCCCCCCCCCCCCCCCCCCCCCACCCCCCCCCCCCCCCCCCCCCCCCCCCCCCCCCCCCCCCCCCACCCCCCCCCCCCCCCCCCCCCCCCCCCCACCCCCCCCCCCCCCCCCCCCCCCCCCCCCCCCCCCCCCCCCCCCCCCCCCCCCCCCCCCCCCCCCCCCCCCCCCCCCCCCCCCCCCCCCCCCCCCCCCCCCCCCCCCCCCCCCCCCCCCCCCCCCCCCCCCCCCCCCCCCCCCCCCCCCCACCCCCCCCCCCCCCCCCCCCCCCCCCCCCCCCCCACCCCCCCCCCCCCCCCCCCCCCCCCCCCCCCCCCCCCCCCCCCCCCCCCCCCCCCCCCCCCCCCCCCCCCCCCCCCCCCCCCCCCCCCCCCCCCCCCCCCCCCCCCCCCCCCCCCCCCCCCCCCCCCCCCCCCCCCCCCCCCCCCCCCCCCCCCCCCCCCCCCCCCCCCCCACCCCCCCCCCCCCCCCCCCCCCCCCCCCCCCCCCCCCCCCCCCCCCCCCCCCCCCCCCCCCCCCCCCCCCCCCCCCCCCCCCCCCCCCCCCCCCCCCCCCCCCCCCCCCCCCCCCCCCCCCCCCCCCCCCCCCCCCCCCCCCCCCCCCCCCCCCCCCCCCCCCCCCCCCCCCCCCACCCCCCCCCCCCCCCCCCCCCCCCCCCCCCCCCCCCCCCCCCCCCCCCCCCCCCCCCCCCCCCCCCCCCCCCCCCCCCCCCCCCCCCCCCCCCCCCCCCCCCCCCCCCCCCCCCCCCCCCCCCCCCCCCCCCCCCCCCCCCCCCCCCCCCCCCCCCCCCCCCCCCCCCCCCCCCCCCCCCCCCCCCCCCCCCCCCCCCCCCCCCCCCCCCCCCCCCCCCCCCCCCCCCCCCCCCCCCCCCCCCCCCCCCCCCCCCCCCCCCCCCCCCCCCCCCCCCCCCCCCCCCCCCCCCCCCCCCCCCCCCCCCCCCCCCCCCCCCCCCCCCCCCCCCCCCCCCCCCCCCCCCCCCCCCCCCCCCCCCCCCCACCCCCCCCCCCCCCCCCCCCCCCCCCCCCCCCCCCCCCCCCCCCCCCCCCCCCCCCCCCCCCCCACCCCCCCCCCCCCCCCCCCCCCCCCCCCCCCCCCCACCCCCCCCCCCCCCCCCCCCCCCCCCCCCCCCCCCCCACCCCCCCCCCCCCCCCCCCCCCCCCCCCCCACCCCCCCCCCCCCCCCCCCCCCCCCCCCCCCCCCCCCCCCCCCCCCCCCCCCCCCCCCCCCCCCCCCCACCCCCCCCCCCCCCCCCCCCCCCCCCCCCCCCCCCCCCACCCCCCCCCCCCCCCCCCCCCCCCCCCCCCCCCCCCCCCCCCCCCCCCCCCCCCCCCCCCCCCCCCCCCCCCCCCCCCCCCCCCCCCCCCCCCCCCCCCCCCCCCCCCCCCCCCCCCCCCCCCCCCCCCCCCCCCCCCCCCCCCCCCCCCCCCCCCCCCCCCCCCCCCCCCTCCCCCCCCCCCCCCCCCCCCCCCCCCCCCCCCCCCCCCCCCCCCCCCCCCCCCCCACCCCCCCCCCCCCCCCCCCCCCCCCCCCCCCCCCCCCCCCCCCCCCCCCCCCCCCCCCCCCCCCCCCCCCCCCCCCCCCCCCCCCACCTACGCCACACTAATGGAATTCACAGAATCTGGCCCGAAAGCCTTAGCTGGGTTTACCTCTCTTGGCAACCGGAGAATTTGACTCAGTTACGGGAATTTCATCCAGACAAGAGTGCTCAGAGATTCTCGAAGCCATTAAACTGGCTAATGATTTGAAACAGTAGTGACACCTTTACCACAATCTAGAAACTTGGAAGCCATGATAAACGACAGACCAGCAGATGATTCAAAGTATTTTGTGTACATCAAAGCCCGTTTGAATCAAAGAAAACAGACGAAACCAAACTTCGTCAGGAGAAGGGAAACACGGGGTTCATAGGATTGTAGAGAGCAGAAGGAGAAATCCTTTGTCAGCTCCATCGCTTCCCGGTCATTGTGTGGAGGCCGCGATTCGATGTTATGCGGTAATCCACAAGGGACCTTGACAGCTGCACTGGAAGCTGCAAGGGCCCATCGTACTCAAAAGATAAGAGTCTAACATTCGCTTGAAACATTCCTCAATCTGAGCATCGACCACATGCTTCGGCAAGTTATTCCAATCGTTGACTACGCGAGTTGATAGAGCGAGAGCAGAATGAATCCGGAGTCTTCTGGGTTTAAACAGTTTCCAGTTGTGGCCTCGAGTTGAACTGTTTGGATTGGATTGAAAGCACGCCTGCAACTCCGTCCCCATCTCTCCTCTCAGGATGCGCCTGGTGAAAATCAGGTCACCGCGATGTCGGCGATAATCCAGGGTGAACAGATTCATCCGGCTAAGTCTATCGGGATAAGGCAAGTCGCGTAACTCCAAGATGTATTTCGATGCACGCCGTTGACCTTTCTCAATTAGGTCACATTCGAACTTGGTGAGAGGGAAGAGGGCAGGTAATCCGTATTCGAGAATGGGCGGACATGGAAGTAAAACAATAGTCGGAAGATATCCGGAGTCAAACGCGAGAAGGCTCCGTCGTATAGCGTGGGACATCCTGTTGGCTGCAGCAACCCTTTCGTAACGTGTCCTGTGTAGTCCGTAGATCAGATGACACCAACACGCCGAGGTCTTTTTCTAGGATTGAGGTCTGAGCAACGTCCCATCGATGTGATACGTCCCGCAAAGGCTCAGAAGCACCGATGGGAAGGACCCGAGCACTTATCGCGATTTATGGGCAATCGCCATTTGACTGACCACTCATGTAACGTGTCAAGATGTAGCCTGTAATCGGTCCGCCTCGTCAAGACAGGATACCTCCATCCACAATTTCAAGTCATCAGCGTAAATCAAGCAATCCAACTGAAGTTCCGCCGGAAGGTCATTGATGAAGATCTTGAAAAGTTCTGGGCCCAGGACCGATCCCTGTGGGACACCGATGATAGTCATGTAGCACGGGAGCGGAGTAAGTCTCGTTACGTCGACTCGCATTGTCCGGTTATCAAGAAATCAGCGATCCAGAGAGAACGCTTCCAGAAACACCGATTCCTCGTAGTTTATAAAGGGGCCTTTCATGAGGAACCTTGTCAATGGCTTTGCTGAAGTCGACAAAAATAACATACAGACGTTTCCCAGCGTCAAATGATCTCGCCCATCTTTCGGGGGCCACATGTACATTCAAAGAACATGAGCGTGCCCACAGAAAATCATGCTGCGCACAAGAGATGACGTTAAGGTTCTCGAGGTGGAAAAGAAGTGCCCGCTTGAGAATCCTCTCCATTACCTTGCACAATATTGACATTAAACAGATGGGTCGATAACTGGCAGGATTTCGATGAGCCCCTACTTTGTGCATGGGTTTAACCATCCCCACTTTGCAAATGCAATGGGGAGCCGTCCAATTTTAAGTGAATGGCGAAATACCCGAAAAGCAGGAGCGGCAATGTTATCGGCCACAGTCTTGAGGAACAGCAAATGTAACGCATCAGGACTCGCGGAGGAGTTCGGATCTAATTCACGAATGCCTTTGGCAACGACATCAGCGCTCATTTCTATATGCACCAACGAAGAGTAGGGTATTGGCACCGCGTCACTGGGAACCGGCGTCCCCATTGAGTAAACAGATGAATATTGCATGGCCAGGAGACTAGCATTCGCGGTGGCGTCGTCAAGTAAATCGCCATGCGCCAATGAATACAGGGCAGGAATACCACTGACTGCTCTGGTACTTATCTTCAGGTAAGAGAAGAGAGTCTTGGGAGTCGTCTTGGATTGCACAGCCAAAGGGAGTTCGCGGTTATGCCGTTCCTCTCGTTTTTTCAAGTTGCAGATATTCCTGGCTACTTTATATTCTGCATAGTCAGACTCGGAGTGCGTTAACTTAAATCGGACCCACAATTTCCGTCTTTTGTTCATTAGGCCCCTCATTTCTGGATCAAACCATGGAGTACCTCTGGCAAAAGACCTTTTGTAGACGAATGACCCACTCAATGGGCTTAATGAGTTGGGAGTACAAGTGGTTCCACTCATCGACGAGGTCGAGGTGTTCGGGTATACTCCAGTCCACAGTACTGGCGGCCGGTTGTAGGCGATGGGGATCAACAAACCAAAAATTTCTTCGGAGGCGACCTTGGTTGTGGAGAGTAAGGCGTCGAGTTCAGAGGAATGAAACCACACAGTGATGGCTTTTACCAATGGGCTAAAGAACGGCTAGGCCGGTGACATCTTATTGTGCCGGTAAAATTACAAGGTCAAGAATATGGGGTTTGTCCTGCAATTATATGAGTAGGCATTGTGACATGTCGGAATAAGTTACATTCGAGAACCGTCTCTAGAAGAGCGAAATCAAACGCGTTTAAAGAGGGAAAACAATGCAGTAGGTCCCAGTCAATAGTCGGCGCACTGAAGTCACCCAGTAATAAGCAGTCCTTGAACCCAAGATGCATTTTGATTGCGTCCAGCAGTCAAGCTCCGGAACCCAATGGGGCCTTGTAGACAACACCGACTATGAGAGATCTGCATCCGTCATGAACACGGCACCAGAGAGTCACGAACTCGCCATCGCCGCCACAGGTATCTTCAAACATATGAGCTTTGAAGTCCGTCTTCCAATAGAGTACCAAACCGCCCCCAGGTCTTCCTCCATGGCCGTCTGCCCTGCAAAGGTGGTATTCAGGGATTTGCACCCCCGAGTCCAGAATATCCGAGGACAACCAGGTTTCTGTGAAAGCTATAAGATCCGGCCGATTCATGGAGGCAAGAAGCTGGAGTTCGTCTGGTTTGTTTCAGAGACTGCGCACATTGAAAGAAATTACGCGCAGTCGGTTCTTCTCTAACGCCCGGGCATGAGAATGAGTGGTCTCCAGCGAGTTCTTGGCATTTTTCGAACCTACAGCGAAAAAGCCACGATCCAAACGCAGGCACCCGTACCCCCACCTCAGGATCCAACTCCTCACCCATCAACGCATCCCCCGACCACCACACGCTCAAACAGAAAAATCTCACCACACCTCAACAACCAACAACCACAACCAAGCAGCCCAGCCCTACTCATCGGGACCAACCGCAAGGCCCTCAGCCCCCCCGCCGCCATCGCCACCCACACAACCCACCAACCCCTACAGCCCGAACGCACGCCACCACGCACCGAGCCAATCACCGCGCCGGAACAACCACGACCACACACCTACAACACCCGCCAAGATAGCCATCACAAACCACCAGCAACGCCATCACCCGCCTCTCTCCACACACCCCCCCCCGCCTCGTCACGGACCCCCGCCCGCCCCACCTCCTACGCCCTACACTGACACCACACGCGACATCTCGTCTACGACGAAAACTCATCCCACCATCACCACCCAACGAGCATCAACGCTGCGGACCCCGATCACCCATCCGTCCCTATCTATCAAAGCAAACTACGCCACGGAACCCACCGACAACATCGACTGACCGACATCATAGCCCGGCCCTAGAATCAAGCCGAACACACGCTCCCATGCTCGCAACGACGTCTGAACATCACACCCCACAAAGCAGCCCATCAGCGAACCAGCACGCACCGATACCCAACCACCAACAAAACCCCACTACCCACACCACGAACACACAAGAGCTCACCTACGGAACCCACCATCAACTCAAATTCCACCAAACACTCCTCAACCCAACGTTATCGAACCACACCACCCCCAATGCTCCACATCAACCCCAGCCATCAAAACAAAATCTCACACGACTAAGATCCCCTCGACGGTCGACTCCCTCAACAAAATCCACCTCCATAGTAGCCATCCAAGGACTCAGCATCAAACGGAAAACTCCACACTCGACCGCCGAGACCCATCTCACAGCCCATCATCAAAACGAACAAACCGGACCTCTAACTCAGTCACTCAAACGTCCATAGGGACTCCGAGACATCAAACACGCCAAGCCCGGAGACACAACGATCCACACTCAAGCGTACCAGCAACCAAAACGCAGATCCCCACCATCCCATTCCACCACACACACAGCATAGATCGACAACGTCCAACTCGAAAATCCACGATATGTAGGTCCGTCTCACCGTTATCACGACGACATCTAAGTTCATCCACCGCTTTCTTCATTTTTACTCGGTCCTCCGGAGAGAGGTCTCGTAATACGAAAAATGGTTCTCCTTTAAGACGCGGAGCTCGTCGGAGAATGCGATGGACTTCATCATCGTACTGACATACAATCTTCAAGGGACGGACCTTAGAGCTGTCCTCCTGTTTCTTTCCAAGGCGGAAAGCCGAGACGACGTTGATTCCTGGCTCACCTTCATCGAGCAGTAAGGAGATCATGCGTTTTAGAAACTCTTGATCATCCATAATCCTTTCAGCTGGAGTGGTTTTGGACGACTCAGGAGCATTTACGATGATTAGGCAACGGCCACGTGAGGGTGATTTGTTGTTAACAGGGATCTGCGAACTGTGGAGAGGTGGACCTTCCTTAAGCAGTTTTTCTAGCTGACCGACTCTATCCAGAACTAGCTTCAACTGCGATTGTGAAGACAATGGTTTGCTTTTCACCTTGACATCAGTCTTGCCCATACTTTCAGCCACTCGTACTGGCGAGGACAGGGGCGCACAATCCTTCGCTACAGATGCATAAGTCTTGGTATTTGGGGCTTTATCGTGGCCAACGTCCGTCGGCTTACCAGAGGGGGTAACGGGACCAGAAGTTGGTGATGAGAGGCA